AGCATCAAAACCACACCTGCATGATTGATAAAGGAGGCGTGACAGTTCTAAAGTCTGCCTTCACACAATCTTTCTGTCTTTGCTCAGATTCTGATGTCATTTCCTCCACAGAGATCTACCTACAGTGTTGGCTCTGCTGAATTTCCACCCATTCAAATTCCTGTTCTAAAGACAAAATGACTCCTTGCATCACCACCCTGACTTTCTTGATTATCTCAGCAGCAGGTAAAGTTTATCAACACAAAGACAAAAACATACTCTAAATGTTCACACTTTCCTTGCCTTTTCTTTTTACCTGTATTAAGTCCATTCAATGAATGTAAATATTATTACCATATAGATGATAAAAGATATATTTCTGCTTACTGTGTTTCAGGTGTTTCTGAATCCGTTCTGATCACTCAGTGGCCCCATTACATCTCTAACCCTTCCAATGGCTTGGTAAAGATGCACTGCTACCAGAATGACACAGACTATCAATATCTGTACTGGTATAAACAGCCTAGAGGAAAAAGTTTCCAGCTAATTGTGGCTACTGTAGCTGGAATTTCACAGTTCGAAGAGGGATTCAAATCTGGTTTTCAGGCAGAGAAAAATGACAAGCAGTGGTCTCTGACAATAACCAGTATTCAGGAAAAAGATGAGGCTGTTTATCTCTGCGCTGCAAGGCTACACGGTACTGTGGCAGACCTCAGAAGCATGACAAAAACATCTGACTCAAGCATAAGTAATCGACTTGAGGGGGTGGGGGGAAACCACACTGTGGAGAAGATAATAACAGCAATTTTTACCATCAAGTTTGTTAAGTAAATAAAAAGGTAAGAGAATGTTTTCTAAAATATTAAAACACTATCTGCATTTTTTCCCCAAAATAATGTTCTTACACATGGATATTTTCCTCAGACTAACCCGCTTGTGATGATGCTAGGTGTTTTAAATAAATCCTGCCAATAGATGGAAGCACAGCACATGGCATAAGCCCTTTACAATGGGAGTTTAGTGGTGAGATAAGCAGCAGATACTCACTAAACGAACCCTCCTCCCTCTTTACACCGAGCCTTTTTATGAGCAACCAACCATTCTCCCATCAGTGCTTAACTATGTCTTCAACTGTTCTCCTCCTCATCTGGTTTTCATGTAAGATCTTAAATTTCAACTAAATTAAATACAAAATGTACAAATTTGAATACTGTACCGACTCATTGTAAACTGTTTTTTGTTCTCTTTGCAGGTCAGGCGAGCGCAGTTATATTTCAGCAGTCTCCTCCACAGATAGTGGATAAGAATCAAGAGATCCAGATAAACTGCAAGCATAACGATAGCTCCCTTCTAATAATGCTCTGGTATCAGCAATTAAGGGAGAGTACATCCATGACCCTCATTGGGTCTGGATATTATCAACAGTCACAAAGTTATGAGGGTGAATTTGAAAAACAATTTACCGTCGCAAGGAGCAGCACAGTAGAAGGAACTTTGACAATAAAAAACACTGACGTGTCGCACTCGGCTGTTTATTTCTGCGCTGCCAGCACACAGTGATGTGGTTTAATGCTGCTCCCTCACTAAAACCCTCAGCATTTTCTGCAAGTGAGGTGTTGTACATGTACACATAGCTTTTTGCTGGTTTTCCTTAGAGTTGCAGCGGGAAACAGATGGACTTGATTCTTCCATAGCTTGCTTCCAAGCTTTTTTTTATAAAAATGAACAGAATCAATTTAGACTAATACAAAGTGCACTGCAGCATAACTTAGGCAGCAAAACTAAGAGAGGGCAGTCTATCCCATCCATCAAATATTTCTGCTCTCACTCTGTCACAAATCACCCCTGACACTTATCTCCAGCCACTCCACGCTGACTACACTCTCTTTCTTACCTCTCCTGTGCACTGCTGGATGGTTGGAAACAACTTTTCCAATCTGGAAATCATAGCAATACAGACACAAACAACTTTCATAATGAACTTCCATACTCAGGCAACTTGTTCTTTGGGCAGATACCACCACAGAAGAGCAGTGTGTGGCATTCATCACCAACAACCCCTCAAAAATGTAAGTTATGCCTATCTCTGAAAAATGGATAAAGGAACTTATTGCATGTTATTTTAGAAGATGCCTGGATTTCTGTTACACCAATAGATGGAAGCACAGCACATGACATGAGGCCCGTATAACAGGAGTGATGAACTAAGCACAACAAACATTCTCCTCCCCCTTTACCCTGAGCCTCTTTTAAAATGAGCAATCACCTTCTCCCATCAGTGTTTGAAAATGTCTTCACCTAGTCTTCTTGTCATCATCTGGTTTTCGTGTAAGATCTTAAATTTCAATTTGAACTCCCAAAATAATCACTTAAATGCAAATACATTACTGACTCATTGTAAACTGTTTTTCGTTCTCTTTGCAGGTCAGGCGAGCGCAGTTATATTTCAGCAGTCTCCTTCACAGATAGTGGATAAGAATCAAGAGGTCCAGATAAACTGCAAGCATGATGATAGCTCCCTTGTAATAATGTTCTGGTATCAGCAAAGAAAGGAGAATATATCCATGACCCTCATTGGCTTTGGATATTATCAACAGTCCCAAAATTATGAGGGTCAATTTAAAGAACAATTTACCCTCACGAGGAGCAGCACAGTAGAAGGAACTCTGACAATAAAAAACACAGACGTGTCGCACTCGGCTGTTTATTTCTGCGCTGCCAGCACACAGTGATGTGGTTTAATGCTGCTCCCTCACTAAAAACCCTCAGCATTTT